TCTAGGATTTTGTTGGCTAAAAATAATTTTGTGCAATTTGTTTTGTGACTAAATATATAGGTCAATTTCTATAAGGACAATTTTTGAGGACAAATATAAGGACAAATAGAGCTTCTGATTATGATGTCCTGTCTGTTCTGTTCTGTCCAGAATATTTGGTAGAGTTCTCTAGGATTTTGTTGGCTAAAAATTAATTTTGTGCAATTTGTTTTGTGACTAAATGTATAGGTAAATTTCTATAAGGACAATTTTTGAGAACAAATATAAGGACAAATAGAGCTTCTGATTGATGTCGTGTCTGTTCTGTTCTGTCCAGAATATTTGGTAGAGTTCTCTAGGATTTTATTGGCTAAAAATAATTTTGTGCAACTTATTGTATGACTAAATATATAGGTAAATTTTTACAAGGACAATTTTTAAAGAAAATTGGGCACAGGGGTCAACTACAATTTTGTTGGCTACTAATCAATATAGTGGATTCCTATTGTAACCTAAAGTTGGTATTTTTTTGTATGTCAGTAAATCGACAATTTTGAAAAATTAACAAAATATCAAAAACATCAGAAATTCTCTTTCTATTTAAAATAACAGGGACCAAGTTTACATTTCTTTTTATTTAAACAATTTAAGGGCAGCAATATTTCACATACGACTTTGTACATAGGTAATTTTTAATACTGCTAGATTTTCTAAATATTTATCCAACAATAATTTTAAAAATACAGACAACTAGTGGTGACATCGTGCCTTAAGGCAAATTGCTGGAACTTTCCGTACCCTAATGAAATATTCGAGGAATAATAATTGTTTTCAAATAGATTATTATAATTATTTGAAGTATTATAAGTGATGGTTAGAACTTAAGCTAGAATCAGAATTAAAATCTGAAGTATTTCTCGATATACAAAAAAATATTTTTTTGAAAATTAAAAAAAGTAATAAAATTTAAAAAAATCTTTACCCAAATCATTTCGTCAATACAAGCAGAAAGTTTTTTAAATCATTCAAATTGGTTGCTTAGTTCTCTCAAAAACTGCCATTTTTGCACATTTAGCTCTGTATCTCCGAATGGGCTGGACCTGCATTTTCCAAAATCTAATCACTACTTCTCCCCATTATTACGAATCGATTGCTTTTTAAATTTTTCAAATCGGTTCATCCAAACGCCCGAAATCGTCACCGAAAAATCAATTTTTCAAAACGCATCAATTTTTTCTCAGGTATGCCAAAATGTTCAGAAATCCTGAAACGTGAACATATGCAAAGAAAATTATTTTCTAATTTTGGCCCATTACTATAACCCTATGAGGAGTTAAAAATGAAGTATTAAAAAATAGGTCAGAGATTTGTAGTAATTTTTAACTTCCCGTAGGGCAAGTTATAGTAATAGCAAAAATATCGAAAATGAAAATTTTTATATATCTTTACGTTTCAAAACCTTCTGAACATTTTGGCATACCTTAGAAAAAATGGATGTATGTATGTGTGTGTGCGGATACAAATTTTCGTCGACGATTTCGGGAATATGGATGAAACAATTTAAATAATTCAAAAAACATTCGATTCGCATGATGAAGACGTGCTGATTAGTTTTTGGCGGAGGCAGGTCTAGCAGTTCCGAAGATATGGGGCAAAAAGTGCCAAAAAGGGTAACTCAGTTTCTAAGAGAACGGAGCGTCCGATTTGAATAATTCAAAAAACATTTTACTCGTATTAACAAGATTTATAGTTTCTTAAAACTCTAATTTTTTAATTAATAATTTAATTATATAGAATTTTTTTTTTCAAAAATCGTCGTTAGTCGATTCGTTAGTCTTTTTAAAAAAAATAATTTTTGGTACGGGAAGTTCCAGCAATTTGCCTTAAGGCACTATGCCATGCACTAGTTTATCTATATATTATTATATTACTATAGGGTTCTCTGCCATCTGCATAAAATAGTGTAAAAAAAATAAATGTCTATGTCGCATAATTCTTTAATCTGTATCTATATCTTTCCCATTATCAAGTTTGCATTGTCCATAACTAAAAATATTTGTGTCGATACTGGTGATATATATCAATTCGAGTTATAAACAAATGGCAAATGGTCCATAAAGGTTGTCTACCAGTGTGCTAGAACGTATTTTGTCTGTTCACGATGCTCATTTATAACGAAACTGCAAGGTCTTTCCACGCGGTGTCTGTCGGCTGACTGACGACTGACGGCTCGCCTTGTTTAGTCGCCGCTTTTAAGGTGTCTTGCACGCTTGGCACGGGGAAGGGTACGGTAGAATAGATCTCGCTAATCCGACTAACTAGTGGTAAAAACTAGTGGTGTATGGCATCGTGCCTTAAGGCAAATTACTGGAACTTTCCGTACCAAAAACTATTTTTGTTCAAAAAGATTAACATTTTTGAAAAAAAATTACTTTGAAAAAATTTGATTTTTGAGAAACTATAAATTTTTGACGAAAATTTACTTTTTTTTGAAAAAAAGACTTTTTGAAGAAAAATTTATTTTGAAATATTTTGGAAATTCTGAACTTTTTTTCAAAGCAATCGTACTGCTTTAACTGCATAGAGACGAAATATCAAAGCGCGTAAGCGCCGCGCCGTCGTCTAACATATAAACACTGATACGGAACCCACAGGAATGTAAACAAAATTTATACTTATTGTTAAAATCTCTATAAAATATCTGTGCATATGTCTAATAATCATTTTTGACTGCCAAATGGCATTTTTTTTTACTTTTTTTACTAGATCTCCCTGCATTCATGAAAATTTGATCAGTTCTTCATCTTGTAAATTCAAATAAAATGCTTTTTGAATTATTAAAATCGGACGCTCCGTTCTCTTAAAAACTGAGTTACCGTTTTTGGCACTTTTTGCACCGTATCTTCGGAACGGCTTGACCTGCCTTCCCTAAAAACTAATCAGCACGTCTCCTTATCAATACAAATCGAATGTTTTTTAAATTATTAAAATCGGTTGATCGGTTTTCCCGAAATCGTCGACGAAAATTTGTATCCGCACACACACACACATACATCCATTTTTTCTAAGGTATGCCAAAATGTTCAGAAACCTCTAAAACGTAAAAATATATAAAAATTTTCATTTTCGATTTTTTTGCGATTACTATAACTTACCCTAAGGGAAGTTAAAAATTTATGAAAAACATACAATTAATATTAGGCTAAAAATTGACCAGAAAGCTCTTTCAAATATGATTATTATGTAGTAAATATTAAGTTAGTTATATATATACATATATCTAGTAAAAATTTATTAGAAGGTAATATCAAATTTTTATGGGTTCCAGATTAAAATATGACGCGAGACACTTTACAAACAGATTATGGATAAGGTGCATTAGTTTTTTTCAATCTACGGTACAGAGTGCGATTGCTGGACTTTATTAAATAAAGTAATTTTTTTGGTAAATTTGTTTTCATTTTTTTTTGTTACATAGATGTGATTACAAAACGCACAAATGTATGAAAAATATGTTTAATAAATAATCGTAGAAATTATTTCTCTGACATCGGGTTGAAAATGTAATAATGTGTAATTACTCGTTTTTGGATATAAATAGAGTATATTTGCTATTTTTTGCGAAAAAATTTAATCGCTCGTATTGAGCTGGTAATAGAGTTTAGAAATTTTAACAGCAATATTATGAATTTTTGCAATGATTAAATTTTAGCAAAAAAATCATTATTTTGATTATTGCTCGGCGTGTAGGGGTTGTAGGGGGTTAAGACAAAAAGTTAATTGTAGTGCATATAGCTAGATATAACGTCGAAAAAAAATTGTTCAATATTCCATAATTTTCTGTAGATATCAATCAGTACCCCAGTCGGTAGGTTGAATTTTCACTTGATAAATTTTGATATAATATACACAATTATATATTGAATATATACTGGGTTATTTGTTTTACCACATGATTGCAAAAATTTAATTCATCTACTTTTCATTAATTCGAATTACTTACCAAAATATCATTTACCCAACAATAAAAATAAAGAACATTTATAACCTTTTTCGCCAACATGATTTTCTTCTATATGTGTGAAAATCGCCTTAAATTTCTGATCCATTGATGCTCTTTTGATATGTGCGTACATTTTCGCAAATAGCACGATAAGTAAACTGTCTTTAAGATGCAAATATAAGCAAGAATGAATTATTATAGTCATTTAAAACCGACGAAGACCTTATGGCATTCAACAACGCGTTTGCGAAACGAGTCTGGCCTGGGTAAAATTAAAAAAGAATTATAAATATATAAAATTATCTGTTTATATATTGCATCTTATAGATTGTAATGTAATCTGATTGCTAAAATTAGCAAAAATAAAAAAAGTCCTTTTATTTTGATTTTTTTTATCAAATTCCTTTAATCATATCTTAATTTTTAAAAAATAATTTTTATGTTCTGAATACATGTGAAGTGCAAAAGAAGGTGAAAAAAATTACCAACCTGGTTATTAAAAATCAGCTTGTAAATGAAGATCAGGATAAAAAATGTTTCCTATATTATTCAATTCTACAAAATTGTTATTTATACAATGACAATAAAAATGCAGAAATTTTTTATAGAATTTATTTCAAAAAATATTTTGATTTAAAAAATCACATGTAAATAACAGCCTTTGTAAATGGAAAATTGTGCCTAAAATATTTTCTATATGTTATTTTATTTTATCAAACTATTATTTTGGAAAACATTGATTTTATTAGTTGTTAATAATGTAATGACAATATAAAATATAAGCAGCTTCAAAAATTATTTTTTTAAAAAAATTTTTTATACAAAAAATCACATGTAACAGCCTTTAATTCAGAATACTTTGAAATTACAGTTAAATTATATATATCATCTATAGTTGTATTTTAGGAACAATTCATTTCCAGTATCACATAACTTGTTTCATTAATGAGAAATCGCACCCCATAACCTACAAATATTACAAATTGAAAATTAGGTTATGTTGAAATTCAACTAAATTTTAATAGTGGGTGCCGCTTGTCGAAGGCAAATTCATATTGCCGCCCGAAAGTAGTCTATTGTTTCGAATACGCTGCTGATTTTGAAATTGGCGCCTTAGAGACTTCGGAGCCCCCTTCAAGCACCTAAACATCGCCTCATTCGCCTTGCTCCTAAAAGGATCATAAGTTGGAGAATCCTCGTTGTCCCAGTTTTCTTCTCCTTCAGGCACCAGAGAAGGCTGAATCATAGGAGTTTCATTCTTGCTGCGTTCAAGATCCTTGACCACATTTTCGGCTTTGCACCTATCAGGGCAGTTCAGAAGATGGGCTTCGATGGCTTCTGGTGCGATGTGGTGGGTGAAGTTGTAATCACAAATGATGAGGCCCTTTTTGTGGATATTTTGAACCGCGCATTTTTTCAAATGGATCTGCATCTTGGTTGGAAGGATTCGGTGCGATTTGTCGTAGGGACAAACGAGTAGCTCGGTGCTGCTACGCAAGGCGGCATCCTTCAAACGCTCGTTGGCTGGTCCATAGTCTTCTATTCTCATTCTCAACGTGTTACTCATGGTGGGAAGAATATGTTTGTATTAAAATAATCTGTTGAAAAAAAAAAGAAATAAGTGAAAATATTATGAAGATAAATTCTTACAAGAATTATACTCAAAATAGTTCAAATATCACTTCACAATTTAAATTTTACAATTCACATAGATATTTCAATTCGATGCTGAACAAAATTCTGTATAATATAGAAAATGACCTTTTTTGTATATCTTTACGTTTCAAAGGTTTCTACGCATTTAGACTTCTCTTTAAAAAAATGTGTGTATGTTTGTATGTATGTATGTATGTATGTATGTGCGGATACAATTTTTTGTCGACGTTTTCAAGAGCAAAGATCAACCAAATTGAATTATTCAAAAAACATTTCGCTTATATTGATAATAAATGATAATTTTACCATCAATTGCATTTTATGAGCTATTTTGTTTAAGCAAATGATGACTCATTCACATACGCACACACTTCTATACACACACATGTAACTATCATGCTAAATTTTGTAAATTAAATAGTAGTCCAATTTAGAAAGGAGACGTCCATTAATCACCTGAGCGAGTTTTAAAGGATTTTTGGACCCCCCCTCCCCCTTGTTGATACATTGTGATATTCAAATTTACCCCCCCTCCCCCACCAAACATCATGTGTATTTTTAGTTACGTGATAAATTTGTAAAATTTTTGATTTTTTTTAAAAATGTTTGATTTTTTTAAAAAAAATAGTTAAAAAAATAAATACACGTGATATCTTACTATATCCCTCCCTCCTCCGCGTGATATTTCATGATTTTTTGTCAAACCCCCCCTCCCCCCAAAAAACCTCACGTGATTAATGGACGCCCTCTAATTAAATTGTACTTTAATTAGTGATTCAAATGTAGAATTTTGACTTCTCTTCGAAAAAAATGTATGAACGTGTGTGTGAGTACGTATGTGCGGATACAATTTTCCATCGACGTTTTCGAGAGCAAAGATCAACAAAAATTGAATTATTCAAAAACATTTCACTTATATTGATAATAAATGAAAATTTGATCATCAACTGCTTTTTATAAGCTATTTGTTCAAGCAAATGATGACTTATTCACATACGCATACACCTATAAACACACAAGTAAAAATTGCCCCAATTTTTGTAAATTAAATAGTAGTCCAATGTAGTAACTAAATTTTACTTTAATTAGTCTTTCACCAATATAATTCAGGTCTCCATTCTAGTTGAAATGAAAAAAATATGAGCCTTAAAAAAGTTAATTTTCTTGCCTCAAGAAGTTTTGCGACTATGATATTAGTTTGATAAAAAAATATTAAAAAATATTAGCTATTCTTTATGTTTAAGTATACTACATATTCTATCAATAATTAAACTTAAAACTTAAAACAAAATTAAATCGAACATGGCGTACTGCTGGTGTACTTGCACAACATGGCCGAGTCGTTCAAAACCCAGAAGTCGTCCAAAAGTGTTCAAAAAACATACTCAACTTCTCTTGATTAATATAAAAATCTAACTAATATTATAAACTAATTACTAAATACTAGTTATTCATTCAATTACATTACCCCTTAACACCAAAATCACTCCCCTAAAGCCGCGTTTACTACTCTACTACATGTCCGTACAGCCGTTCCATTAAACCACAAAAAAACTCAATAAAACTACAATAAATATAAATAATTTGAAGAGTACTTACTGGTATTTTAATACTGGAGTATTATTGTGATAGTTTGAGTTTACTTTTTGAATTTTATTCACTTGTTTTCACACAAATCGCTCACAAACAGCTTCTGAAGCACGACTGATCCTTTCGGCGCGATTAAACAGAATGATGACGAAGGATGATGAGTGGTTTTCGGGTGTTAAGAGTTACCTGATTCGGCAAACTGAACTGGAGTTCTAGAAGATTCTAGTTCAGTTTGAATTTTTAGTCGAGGTTCGAACCCTTAATTTTAAATATATTTTTATAAAAAAAAATTAATAAATAATATATGTGATAATATTTTAATAAATATGGCTATATATTTTTATTTACTTTTATATGACAATTTATTTTTATATATAACTTTTAAAGCTAATAATAATAATATTTCATTATTTGAGTTTCCGCCGCGAAAGTTCTAGAATTTTTGTCTAATATGAATTAATTTTAACGACTATGGCAATACTTTTGTTTAATTTAACGGCTTTATGGTATAAATCATAACTAGTGGGGTGGGTGGCATCGTGCCTTAAGGCAAATTGCTGGAACTTCCCGTACCGTAACAAAATGTTCGAGGAATACTGAATGTTTTCAAATAGATTATTAAAAATAATCTTCGATTCGATTTCTATTTTCCGCACTCTTTGCTCCGTATCTCCGAAACGGCTGGACCTGCCTTTGCCAAAAACTAATCAGCTCTTTTCCCTATCAATAGGAATCGAATGTTTTTTGAACCATTCAAATCGGTTGATCCGTGCGCCCTAAAACGTGACTGGAAATTTGTATCCACACATACATACACACACACACATACACACACACACACACACATCCATTTTTTCTGAGGTATGCCAAAATGTTCAGAAACCTTCAAAACGTCGAGAAATGTAAAAATTTTCAATTCCGATTTTCGGCCCATTACAATAACTTACCCTACGGGAAGTTAAAAAATATAAATCATTTAAAAATATAAAACTAAATATTTATATATTTTTGAAATTTAATTTTATTTTAATTCTAATTTTAATTTCAATTTATAAATCTTCAAAAACGTATTTAGTTGGTTATAAAATAAATAATGTATAATAGAGACTAACAATGAAATAGAGACTAACAATGAAATAGAGATAAACAACAAAATAGAGATAAAGAAATAAGTAAATTTAATTTATAAATTTGCATATTATGCAAAATATATTTAAAATGTATTTTGATAATAAGATAAATAATAAAATAAAAATAAAGAAATAATTAAGATTAATTTATAAATTTTCAACAACGTATTTTGATGATAATAATAATAAGATAACAACTTGATTTATAATAAGATATAACTTTATTTTTAATCACATAATTATTTATATCATTATAAATACTCTTATTACTTGTTATAAACAAAAAAAAAAGATTATCATTTTTATTATATTATACCTGCTTTGAATCATTTTTATATTATTCGGTTGTTTGATGTCTTTGATTACTAACTTGTAATTTGTTATTTTATGTGTTTGGATATAAACGCTAATCAATATTTGAAATTATTTGTATTTGTATACAGAAGCTTATATGCTTATATGCTTATAATTTTACATTGATGTTAAGTATATTTTTTAAATCGGAGATTTCTTATATAGAATTAATATTGATATTCTTGGATATAAACGTTGATCAGTATTTGTGTAAACTCTTCTTTTATCTATGTGTGTTGCGTTGTTGTGGCTATGTTACGCTTCTTTATTAATATAAAATGGTACTAAAAACTGACAAAAAAGTATGTACTCTTCTTTTATCTATGGTATTTGCAGTTTGATCGGGGTCTTAGACGTTAAACCTAACTTCATGTATGCGTTATAAATGCACACCAGAAAGATGCAGTTATGATAACTTTTTCTTGACATGTGTGCGTTTTGTAGGTTTTATATCTGAATCGCCTGACTGCACCGCAAACATATAGCATTTTGACAATTTTTAGTCTAATTTTATATGAAGAAAGGAAAGGAGCCTAACATAGCATTGCCATTACAACACTATGTTACGTCCCTTAATTGTCCCCTAAAACTTACATCACTACGCTCATAAGTCATATATTCCTGGTAGCTGTTCAAACAATTACACATAATTTGGCTGTTTTATTACCCAATGTATATCGTTTTATTATCTCTGTAGAAAAAATATAATATGAAATCGAGTATATGTACCTTGAGTCCTTCATCGAATAAACCGTATTTTTTGCTCAAAGTGTCGGTCTCTCGGCAGAATGTCGCTTTAATGAACAGTAGCCGGTGTCCGTCGGTCGTCCGCGGCGTTTTACACGCATTCTGCATATCAACTCGCCTCGGGAGAACGTTGCTTGTTAATTAGCAATATGCGATACGAGTAATGTATATGGCACGCGTAGGGCTGGGAGGAAGAGGACGGATAAATTAATTTTTTTTAATTTTTTATTGAGCCACTCTTAATTATAATTTAAGACCAATCAGTATGTGTGTGCCGGAATTTAATCTTTCGCCCATAGATTTTTCTCTATATAATTATCACATTATTTTTAACATTAAGTACAAGTACAGGGTGCGCTTTCAATATGTGGTCAATGGAAACATTGAATATTAAATAGAAGCAATGAAAGAGGTCATTTGGTCGAGCTAAAAAAATGCAAGTTAAATTTAAATTTGATAATAAAAATAAAGATTATAAAAATTAATTGAGAATTGTTCAAGTTATTCAACATTTCCATTGACCACATATACATGGCGCACCCTGTACACAGAATAAAGTTATAATATTTATTTAAATTTCATATATATTTTTTATTATGCAATAATGTTTACACCTAATCCTAATTATAACAAGATAGAACAAGTAGTATTTCAAGTTTAGAAAATGGACTTCAAAAATACAAAATTGTCTGAACAATGCTAATGATTTTGAGATTGACAATATTTTTTTCTAATCTTGCCCTAGTAATGTTGTGGCAGAGATTAAATATGAATCATCTAATTTTTATTGTCATCAATATTAACTTTATTATCAATTTTTATTAATACTTTGTCCATCCCTATCCTCTGATCCGATGCGTCGCCGTAATATCGGATACCGTTAATAAAACACCGCCGATGACTGGGCCATGGGGACAAGGCGATTATAAAATATGTAACACCCTGTCAACGTATGAATTCGAACGGTCCGTTCCATATATGTACCTGTGGAACCGATACATTTCTATGTTTAGATAAGACTATGGAAGAAATTCATTAGAATTAGGTAAAAGAACTATCACTATTATGTGATTAATCTGCTCACAAATTGGGGATTTGAAAGAAACAATGGATCA